CCCCCCCGGCGGTGTCCCCCAGCCCTGTGTCCCCTTGCAGAGCGCCCTGCCCTGGATGCGCTACGTCAGCGTTGCCTGCGTGGTCGGCATCATCGCCGGCTTCTGCATGGGACCAGGTGGGCTTGGGGCCAGCGGGAGCTGGGGGCAGTGGGGCGGGAATGGGCGTCCGGGTGGAGCGGGGAGGGTGCAGGGAGTAGCGGGGTTTGCAGGCAGGCGGCAGGACTGGTGTTCCGGCTCTGTCCCTCCAGCCAGGTTCTGGTTTATCGTACTGCACCCTGTGAGCAAGACCCCGCCACAAGCCCCCCCAGCTCCATATGTCCCCGGGGTTATGCTCCACATCCACCTCCCTGAGAAAACCCCAGCAGCTTTCCCCAGGCCTCTCTGGAGGTGTCACCTGCTCCCATCCCAGAGTGACTGGAGAGCATCGTCCTGCTGTTAACCTAGCATGGGCGCGAGAGCAGGCGTGAACAACGAGGAGTGAACCTGGACTGGTTTACCCAGTTGATGTATTAGCAGAGCTGTTAACAGATCTATAATTCATCCTCAGCCCAGACTTTATTCACTGTAATTACATCTTTAATTAGGATTTTAATGGCTCATTGTTCACAAACAATGATGAATAGGAGTTTTAAAACAAAAAAATGTATATTCTGGGCGAGCTGTGAGTAAGAGTCCATCAGGGGCTACACTTCTCGTCACTTCTTAGCACTTTTTTTTTGTTTCTATTCTTCATCGGAGTGTCCTTTATAAGAGATCCCAGTCAGCCCTGTCCCAGGCAGTGGGACTCCCAGCATGTCACCACATCAAATACAGTCCCCTGCAGATTCCCTGTGCCCGGGGATGTGTGCTGGACCTTGGATCCTGCTCTCCAGTAAAGGGACAGTCCTGGGAGCCAGGGCTGCTGGCTCAGTGACACATGGGCGGAGGGGCTGAGTCCTGTGTCCAGTTTTCAGTAGCCAGGTTGGCTTGGGCAATTATCTTCAGTCATGCTGGGACTTTTTCACCATACGTGGGAAAAGCCAGTTGGAAAATGGCATTTCTGTGTCCTGTGGGAAATGCTGACACTTGGAAATGTGGTTGCTTTGTTCCTGCCTAAATCAGCCACAGCATCTGAGCCTTTAGCCAATCGATAGAAGGAAATTTTCTAAATTATTTTGATCTAGGGAGGCTGGGAA